ATTTTACGAGGACATCAATCAGCTGGGCAACGGCATCTTCCCAATTAAGGGACCGGGTGCTTGCCCTCAATTCGTAGTCCTTAGCTGTTGTTGCATTTTCATTGGGTTGGTTTTTTTACGTGGCAGGTCCCAAACCCAGCGCACAACCCTATGCAGGGAATGTTTCGCCTTCTCACTTTAGCTCGCCTTCAAACGGATTTCCTTAGGCTACCCAGAGGACCGGAAGTCGTGAGCTGCTTGAGTCATATGTAAAATAATCGTTTCTGGCCACTCCCAAGTCAATGGCGATCAGAGAACTTTCCTCATTTGCATGGCAATGACTTGAAGGACCACTACTAATTCCTAAGATGCTTAGTTTGTTCCGTGGTAATTATGTTATGCTTTCAAATGGGTTCAATAACAAAAGTCTGGAAAAGAAAATTGAGAGCCGTTTCGACTTTTTTTTTAATAATACCTATATGTATGTATGGTTGTGCTGAATCAGAAAATTACTTTCACTTTGTCATTGAATGTCACGCTTTATGAATAGGTAAGCAACTATATTAAACAAGTGACAAAATACAAGATTAAAGATTGGTTTATAATTGCCAAACAAAACAATTTTTTTTAAATCTAAAATACATCTTTTAGTAAGTGCTAAACAAATTTCTTATTTCCAGTGACTACACGGCCGCTTGTAGGAAGCATCTGGAAGGCCTCTCTGACGCAATAATCTGCCATCACTGAGACGTTACATCTTCCTTGGTATATTTTTTTTATATTTTGGTGAAATCATTTATTTAGTTCGTTATAATTTAAACTAGTGAGACAAAAAACAAAATAATTAGACATTGGTTTTATAATAATAAGACATATAAAAATATTTGGGGTCTTACATTCAAATGTCTGAAAAGCTTAATTACATTATTAGTATAATTTTCTTCCTTAATTTGCCCGGATATATGCAGATATGTACATTTATACTTGATACGTATTTGTGAAACACAAAATTTAGAAAAAAGTCTACGTTGGTATTATATATATGACAAAAGAAATTATTTATATACATGTATAAACGCGTATGCAGTCTGTTCATGGATGAATACCACACACATACATAAATATACAAAACAGAAAAAAAGAATATATATAAATACAAGTATATCTACATATACGTACATAAATACATAGATAATACTGTTTCTAGCGTTGGCGTTTCGTATAAATTTTCCCTGTTTTATTTGTCAGCTGAAACTCATTTTTCGTTGGTCTCGCGTTTAATGAGCTTCTTCTTAATTTTCCTAAGTATTTTTCCTAGGATTGTTTCGCTTTTTGTGGTATCTCCCATCTCTTATTCTTATCATCTAAAAATTTTAAGTTATTTCTGATACAATTTGGTATTTCAAAGAAAACGATTTCAATATTGTTTCACAAAAATATATTAAGATTGTGGAGTGTATAATCTTGTGTGCTAATTTGCAAATTTATTCAAAGAAGTGCCACTTTTCTTCGCATTAGCAGGTGTGAATTGTTTCAACAATTATTAAACAGTAAGTAAGCAATACAAATTTTCATAAGATGCTATATCTAATGTATATATGTATATGTATATAAAAAATCACTTAATTTTTATGTTATATATTTGTTCATAATATGACAATTTTATCATAATATCGGCGGAATTTTAGCAACCTTACATATCTTGAAAACTGTAAAATGATACCTAATTGGTCAAATATACATATTAATAAGTGTTTATTTATATACTAAAGTAAATGTTCAAATTATGTGACAGCTATGTGAAAAACTTATGAAATTTAGAAAGATGATGTTAAATAGTGGCGTTTATATTTGTTATATTTACATATATGTGTATAAATCATTTCTGTTCTACTGAAAACTATAAAGTAATACCAAATCATATAAATATACACAATAAAACATTTACTACAAGTAAATGCCTTAGTTGGTGTGACAGTTTATGAAATTTATAAATGTGATGTTAAATAATGCCGCAACCCTGTGTGTTATACATGAGCATATTGGTCAGTATGTAAGTATGTGTTTGTATGGAACATTTGTTGCGACTGATAGGCAATTCTTCCTATATATTTATATCATTAAAGAATACAGCCTTGATTGCCAATATGAAACAAATATCTGTCTCACGTAGCAAACGTATCTTAAGAATACATGCACAGCTATATGGTATATACATTTATCGTAAATTTTTTAAGAGGGTAGAGGGTGTGATCTGAAATTAATACTCGTAACTAACTTTGCTCGCTGTACAAAATAGTGTGCGTATGCCTGACTAACTAACTACTACCAAGATTTGTTTTAAATATTTTAAATCAGTTTTATTATTATGAGCGGTTTAACTGACAAGTTAAAATTAAAATTAATTTTTATTCTTTGATTTTAAAACCATAATTCAGTTGTAATCTTTATATATAAAAATAACGTGTCACGCTGTTTGTCCGCGATGTTCTCCTAAACTACTGAACCGAATTTTTAAAATTTAGCACACTGTGTCCAACTCGAACCAACTTAGAAGATAGCATAGTAAAATATAAATAAAACAAATACAGAGAAAGCTCTATGAAATCAACTCTCCATTAAGCGATCATCTCCTTTAACCCCTTGACGTATTTCCACGAGTCTGACTCGTGGTACAATTTCTGTGCCTAACATGATTATCACGATTCTGGCTCGTGGTGCGTAGAAGTGTACATCTGATGAAAAAAGAATTGAAATTTTCCCGTTATTTTCAGCTAGCAATGTAAACAAAAAAATTGTTGCAGTTGAGTGCATTATCTACTATGTAATTATCCATATTTTTTGTTACGCATTAAAATTAAAACGTAGTATTTTATTTTTTGTAAATTTGTAAAACGAGAGTGGGGGGGGGGGCATTAAAAATGCCGATATAATTATTAAGAATACATAGAAACTAGGAATGTCAGATCAGTAGTGATTCCTTCATAACAAATATTGCATAAAATGCAATAAAATATCTCTCACATATTGACCGATCCATAATATTTATATAGAGTCCATAAGAAGAACAATTGCTGCGCGCCCACTCCGAAGTGCAGTCACTGCGGAAAAAAATCAGGCCTATTACTTTCCGCACAAACCCTGTATCTCCTACGGCTCTAAAGCTACAATAACCAAGTTCGAAAACTGCAAAACCCTTTAGTACCCCTGCTGACTCGGCAAAAGTGGATGAAATCGAATGATAACCCCATCCACTACTCATATTACGGTTCTGACAAGAACTACTAAAAGTGCGATAAATCAATGAATAAACACTGCAGAGACATAAAATTTTACACCAGTGATGGAATGAGAGGAATTACGGAAGCCGGTTTAAGAGTTAGACGAAGGGGATAGCATTGGATTAGGTTTAAAATTATAATTGCAACGCTTCCATTTATTTGTTTTTGGGGCATATTATCTTTTACTACACTGCCATAACTTCTTTTGAGAACGTTGTCCTTAATGTTATTAGGTTTCGAACTCTGGTCAGTGATGTCAATAATTTCCCTACGAGAAATATTTGGCATTTGGTTACGTCGTATTTGAATTCTGAGCGACAACTTCGATTTTAAGTCTGTATCTTCAGCCAACCACTGTGATTAGCAGTGCGATATCCTCTACGAAAAAACCATTTTTTTATGAAATACTAGCTGACCTCACAATTGTTGTCCACCGTGAAATTGTGTGTTTTGAAATAAAAAGGAAGTTGATTGTAGTCGTAATGCATTCGTTAAGAACACACCTGGATGTCAATCTAATGGTTGGCTTTGCTTTCTGCGTAACCATTCCATGTATAATATCAAGGCATTTCCGAAAAGAGCAATGTCCGCGTAAACGGATCACTGACGCAAGTTGAGAAACTACTCGTCAATATAAATTTTTTTGTTGGCGGTTTTTCTGCTGGCTGTACTTAGGGTGAAATACAATATTTGGTCTTCTCCAAATGAACTGCGAGATGCACAACAGTCGGAAATCAAGGCCAATAACCGTCATGTTGATTTTTAATCGTTTTTCCCAAAACTGTGCCACTCAACATTGATATGAGTTTTGAATGTGAATTAGACAGTAATGGCGAATACTCCTCTAAGTTGAATGTCGTCTGGTTAGCTACGCCGATAGAGAGGATATCCATTATTTCCAGTTTGCGTTTCCGAAGTAAAAGCACGGGGATAGTGTTTCGTGCATTTATTGTCAGACATACAAACCGATGTGGGATTGTGGTGACCGATAGGTCCATGCGACATATTGGCTCTCACTACTTCGTATAATTCTGGATCTAATTCGCCCGTTCATAATTTCGCACGCATGGATGTCATCGAGGATGGAGTCATGTGTAGAAGTTCACGCAATTGAGGAAAGTTCCCTGGTCGCCATTCACTTCGGAGTGGCCAGAAATGATTCCGTTACATATGATTTAAGCAGCTCACGACTTCCGGTCTTTGACCAAGTATCCTCTGGGTAGCTAAGGACATCCGTTTGAAGGCGAGCTAAAGTGAGAAGGCGAAACATCCCCTCCGCAGGTTTGTGCGCTGGGTTTGGGATCCGCCACGTAAAACACGACACCCATGAAAAAGAACAACAAGCCTTAGATGAGAGACCCTATTTTGATGACGACCATGGCAAACGAAATAAGGACTACGTTTTAAGGGCATGCACGTGGAATGTCCGGACCTGATTGTCCAGCTGATTGATGTCCTCGTTAGAGTGAAGGCTGACATCACCGTCGTCCACGAAATGCAATGGACGAGACAAGGACTGAGGCGGAGTGCAAATTTGGCGTGGGATTCGTGGTGGGAGAGAGACTCCGTCGACGAGTACTGTCAAAAGTTCGAATATCAATTATCCGTCCGAAGAACAAAAAAGCGACGAGGCCGATGGTTTGCCGGCCGAGATATTTAAACACGGCGGCGAAGAACTGAAAAGGAGCATGAATCAGTTTCTTTGTAAAATATGGTCGGATGAATGCACGACCAAACTCAACATCGCGGATAAGGTTCTATCGGGTGTATTGTGTAGAAGATTAAAAGAAAATGTGGCTTTAGACTTGCCAAATCAACAATCGTCCATATATTCACCATGCGCCAAATGTTGGAAAAGACCCGTGAAAGAAGAATCGACGTACAACACCTCTTCGTCGATTTCAAAGCTGCTTTCGACAKCACGAAAAGGAGCTGCCTTTACTCCGCGATATCTGAATTTCGTATCCGCGAAAAATAATACGGATGTGTAAACTGACTTGAGCTGCCAATGTATATTGATGGCAAAAAGAACGCTGACTTAACCACTTTGTATGAAACTTTGACTTAATCACTTTGTATGACACACACATAAAGTTTTCATGACAGGAATTGAAGGGTTCAAATAAATCAAGAAAACAATAAAATATTTAAAAAAGAAAATTTTATGGAAAATTCACTTTTGGATTTTTTTTTTGTTTTACAAACCATCCTCACCCCCTTCAAAGTGGTTCAGGCCATTTTTCATTTCATGTAACGGTTGAGTAAGCTATAGCGAACAGACGAAAACCCAATTTTCTTTTATACATAAGATTTGTTGGTGAAATCATCAATCTTAATGGTATATTTGGAATTATGATGGAGATTACAAATACTTCACAAAGAACGCATAGGGTGCAATATGATTTGTACCCATACTTTTGGCAATTAGTACATACGCTGGACAATTCCTTTTAAGTGATTATTCAATGGTTGAATATATATTTTAATTACAACGCTTTTATTTGATTCACCGGGATGTTCGTGTCTTTGTATGGATGTGTGTATGTATATTTATATGTTTGCAACTTTTTCAGTGGCATTTCAACTGACAAAAGAATCAACAGTTTGATAAGCATTGAAAAAACAAGAAAAAAGCCGTTCATTTTCGTTGCATGGACGCTATAACAGCCTTCACAATTATAAAAGACTCCTCAAAGAACTTGATTTTGAGTGATATGAATAATTTCTTCGGATATTGATCGATTTCTTGAAAATATCTTGTCAAATGAAAAAGTTGTCAATATATGAACCTTTTCTAATCGATCAGTGTTTGTGACAGGTAT